CACCTTTTCACCGGAATCGAAGGAGATTGCCTCGGAAACAGCGTCAGCATGAATCTTCCAAAAAAAGCCAATCGATAACTGTTCACACCAATTCGTTCTGGTTTGTAACTCGATGATACCAACACAGGAAATATCATAGGTTTGACTGAAATCTCAATTGACAGCATCAAAAAATCTCCACTCGTCAAAGCTTCGAATAAGGGCCTAATGCCCAGCTCCGATTAACATGAAGTATGTGTGTAAAAATATAGCTCGGCTTTATAATCAATTCGAGTATGATGCGAGGCTACTCGGAAGTGATATAGGGACTAATAGTGCAATTTTTTCCAAAATCTATGAATACGCCTCATGATACAATTTTAATTCACCTAGCCTTGACTTCCAAAGGGTTCTTACACCCAGGATGACTGCAGTTTAAACCTGGCGGATTTCTAAACGTAATCACCTTGGAAATACATGACGTCGTCGATTGCAATGAAAAATACTCGTTTGCGGTATCGGCAACTCAATTATAGGCATGATAAGAGAGCAGTCCGGCTTTACTTCAAAATCCTATTTTCTCAGTGATCTACCTTTGGTAACCTTTGGTAAGTGATATCATGTCGTTATTATGCGCACGACCTGATCTCGAATTTCTTTAGGAGGGTTGAAAAATCCTAGGCAAGGTCGAAATTGAAGTCAGTCCTTGAGGCCAAGACACTTTGGAAGCTAGGGCTAAGTGAAATTCAATAACACTCTGAGCTCTATTCCTTTAATCGAAGATATGAAGACCAAGATGGTGTGGCGCCTGGTATGGTCGCAGTCTTCTTTCGATTTACAGAAGTGGGTTGACCTCGTTGTCGCAACTTGGTCTTGTCGTCAGGGCGATTTAGTAGAGCGCACCTTGTCTAAAGTCCTCTGCCATAGTAGTTTTCATATCTCCTAGCATCAGACAGTGAGCTTGGTACATTCTCAGACGCTTTGCCGGCATCGCAGTCGGCATCATCAGTGAGTTTTGCCATTCTCTGCAACGAGCTACGAACTCGTCAAATAGACAAGTGAAATCAATCCTTCTACCAACCTTCAACCGAAAACGGTAAAACTATCACTCTTCTTCCTGCCCTGGCCCATCTATCAACTCTTCATCCTCTTATCCAACTCCCGCCCTATCACAGCTTCTAACTTGTTTACATTCCACTCAGCAAAACGTGTTCCCTTTTTCGGCAAATTTAGTGTGGCTTCATCCCATCTGCCATTCACCCCTCTCTTTCGGATCTCCCTCATGGTCCCGTAGATCCGTTCCTTAATCGTCCTTCTTTGAATCTCCTTGAGCATCCCAGGGCGACTATTTTCCCTTAATTACTGGTACATATCCCATCTCAAATAGAGCCACCTCCCCTCCGGTTTCTTCGCACAGTATTTTGACCCTGTTTTCGAAAGAGGCCACTAGTGTCAAGGCAAGGTATCTCAATTTATTTCAACTTGCGAGGCTAAATGCTGAATGTTCGGGCTTCGAAGGCTCTCATCTTTAAGCAGCATTGACTGAGAGACCACAGCTGGAGTCCTCGGTAGTGACGATCATTACAGTCTTTATATGGTTTCGTTCAGTAGGCCGGACTTGTTCTGCGACTGCCTCTCCTATAGGGGATTGACCGAATGGACCTGATACCTGTGAATCTGCTTCCAACGTCTCCTTATGTGGCAGTGACGTTGCACCGAATCTGTTTACTCCAAAAACTTCACGACCCCTGCAATGGTGTCTAACCCAAACCCTCTTATTCGACCGGTAGGTTGCTGCTTGGCCATGACAAGCCCCGGCCGGCCAATCACTGAGTAGGAGACTGAAGCCACTGCCATCAATTTGAATGTATTGTAGTAACCAATGAATTTGAAATAACCACTTTACGCAAATTTGGATACCAAACTGCTAAACTGCTAACTCAATTAATGACGATTCAACCTAATATAAACTTATATATTAGTATATCTATACAATATAATGTGATAGTACACAGTAACAAACTGAAGTGCCGATTTGTTGTTAAACGGTAATTTAAAAGGCATATAATCTATCACATGAAACCTTTCTCCAAATATTCCTGTTTTGAGCCATAGTTTAGGATATTTTATATGTTATGCGCATCTATTTTGCGGACGATCAAATGAAGGTTTAATGGGCAGCTGTTTGTGTTCACTTGATCTTCGACAGCTATTCACGAAATTGAAAAGACACAAATAGACTAACTGGAAGGGCTTCCCTGAAACCTATAATTTCAGCTTTATTTTTACATATTGGCCGAGGGTGACCTTAGCCTAATAAATGTTTATGCTGGATCGCCAAGCCAATGTGCCCATTCGTCCTGATAAAGGCAAGAACACAGGTCAGGCCTGCTTAACGCTCACATCCAACCTGATGTTAACTGATAAAATTTAGCCAAATAGGTGGAGCCCATCTCCTTTTCTGTCTGTTGCATCACCTGCACCTTGATTTCTAGGAGAATTTCCCCTTTAATGCTCGCCAAAGCCCCGTCAACAGTCAAAATCACAATAGAATCAGGCCAGTTTTTTCCTTTTAAACGAAAAAGTCCAGTAACATGAACTTATTAAGGTTTACTTAATATAAATTTAGAGCAAGGAAAAATCGACAATCGACTACTAGGATCAAGCATTGGATCTCGTTATAACACATCTACACTCGAGATGACCATGAGCATATCAAGTGTAAACCAAAGATTCATCAAAACACAGCTTTTCTTTGCATTTCTAGATTCGAGGGGACTCTATATATTTTAAAGAGCTTCTGCCTTATGTAGATGTACCAGCTCAAAATGGATGAAGCCGATTCATAGTATCCTCAGTCTGTTCTTATAATGGGGAGTAATCCTGTCTCATTCAATAGTTCCGAGCGTCATTTTCTGTCGGCTGTAGATGTATCAGAATGGGAGAGGTACATTAAGAGGCGGACGATGTATTCACCTGGCCAGAATCGCTGCTCTTCCCCTAGGCGCAGATCACTGAAAAAGAATGCCTTTTCGAAGGTATGAAGACCAAGATGGTGTGTGGTCACAGTCTCCTTTTGTTGTATAGAGGTTGTTTTACCTTGTTTTTGCAACTTGGTCTTATTGGTAGGAAGACTTAAAAGAACGCACCTAGTCCGGAATCAAATGTATGCATGATCATTTCCAGAGTCGGACCATGGACGTGGTACATTCTTTGACGTTTCGACGGCATCGTAGTCGGCATCATCAGTGAGTATTGCCATTCGCAGCGTCACACTACAAATCATCAAAGAGACAAGTAGAGGCACACCACACTACATTTAAATAAGCAAGAAAAAATGGTGATAGTGAAGGCGTGATACGAGGATATAGGAAAAGCGAATGGCCCATGGCCACCATGGTCGACCACAACTGTTTAACACATTTGGTCAAAGGATCGGCTTCACTTGTCTCTTTGACGAGTTGTTGTGTGGTGCTAAGAATGGCGAGACTCACTGACGATGCCGGTGAAACGTCTGAGAATGTACCCTGTGCCTGGTCCGACTTTGGAAATGATCGTGCATACAATGGACTCCGGACTAGGTGCGTTCCGCTAAGTATTCCTACCAATATGATCAAGTTGCGAAAACAAAGTCAAACAATCTCTATGAATGTCTTATGTTGATTGAGCGTCTACAAAGCTGGTATGCTTCTAGGGCCCCAATTACATAAAAAGAAAAATAAATATAGAATTTGTTTCTCCTTTTTTTGGCAACTTTGTCATTTTGTTAAGAAAACCTGGATGAAAGCATCTTGTCCGGGGTCCATAGTATGCATGACTCGGGCCGTGGACTTTATACATTCCACTCTGGAACTTAGTACGCATAGTATGGATTACGGACAAGGTGCGCTGCTCTTGGTATTCCTACCAAAATGACCAAGTTGAGAAAATAAGGTCAGACAAATTCCATACAACGAAAGGAGACCGCGACCATACAAAAGGCCACACCGTCTTGTTCTTTATACTTTCGAAAAAGCACTATAATTCCGCACAAGTATAAACAATAGACATTTACAACCACTCACAGCCCCGGCTTTCTCACT